ATGATTTCTCTACACTATGTGTTTAATAAAAATCTATACTAATAAATATGGGAAGATTATATTGTTCATGTTGGTTAAAGATTATAGATCATTTAATTAAAGAAAAAATGACTGGTCTAATTAATTCGGGATTTATTAACACAGCTTTAATATTAAATTTAATACAGACCTTCCGCTTCATAATAAATGATCTAAATATAATCCTACCCTCTTTAGGGTCCTAGAACCGATCCCTGCACCCGACTGACGCCCTCTGTCATTTTGATAATTTAAATGTAATTCGGCTAAATGAATAATAATACACTTCTAATGAGCATCAAACTTATTTTGTTGAGTATTATCAGCCTAAAAATGAGCATCTTGATATCTGCTTCATATCTTCTAATTCACTTTTTTTTCTTTTTTTTTCTTTTATAAAAACTTATTATATTATATCTATACTCAACTCTTATGAAATTCAATACGTGAATCTAATGTGATATGATACATTTGAAGTATTCATTAATATAACATTTTAAAAATGAGCATGACATCAATACCAAATGAGCATATGTAGCAAACCAAATGAGTATTTCACCAATATCAAATGAGCATACATACTTGCGAAATGAGCATCGAAAAATTCAGAAGACTCGTTTAAAATCTTCAATATGCTCAAATATTAAATGAGAGTACATAACCTATGAAATGAGAGTTTTTTTCAAAAATAATGCTAAATAAAAAAGTATTTACGAAATTAAAGTTGAGTTAAAACTATATACCAAAATACTGCTAGATCAAACTCTGGTTGGTGAAAGCCGCCCAACGAATTGGCGACTCTCCTCAATAATACGGACGTGCCGCGTGCGTACTGCGTAGAAGGTAGCTAGCTGTTGGGAAAGAGAAGTGGTGGGCCATGTAAAAGAAAATCTCCTATTTTTTGAAATTGCTATAACTTTTATATTTTTGCTCCAATTTTTTTAAAATGTATATCAAATTTTATAATTTTTTGTGGGGTTTTTTACGAGAATATTACTAAAATAAAACTTATTTACATAAATGACTATTCATTACTACAACGTAGTGCTGTGGTAACTAAAGTTCAAAACTTGAACATAAATTACTATGATTTCATTACTACTCTAGTAATGAATCATATTTTTGTAAATCATCTTTATTTTGGTCATATTTATGTAATTATTTCTTTTTTGGGATCTTAAATATGACACCAATATTGAATATATAAAATTTAAAAAAAATTTGAATACCATATGAGGTGGAAAAACTAATTGCAACTATCTACTCTCAACAAACCTAGAGCCTGTTTGGTAGCATGAAAATCGGATGATTTGGCTGATTGTGCTGAAATTTATGAAGTTCTGCCTGAAGTGGCTGCATTGGCTGATTCTGCTGATTTAAGAAAAAATTATTTTTAAAATATAATTTACTAATAAAATAGAGAAAAGTTATATGCAAAAGTTACATGTTTGGTAAAAAAAAAGTTGGCTAATAAGTCTGATAAGCCGAAAAACACTATTGCCAAACGGCCTCCTAATTCTCGACCAGCTTAAACGAACGTTCTGTATTCACCATATCACTTCGGTTTTTCCTTACAAAAGTTTAACCAAAACTTTTTACAAAAATATGAAGATTGGATTGCCCACAGTTTTTTAGGCTCAACTTTTTTCATAAGTGGATCCGGGTGTTAAAATTAAAATATCATCATTATTATATACATCTTTCAGTTGTTCTTCGATCAAAGATTTTATACTGTAAAAATTAAATCAAGAGTTTTTTTTTGTGTTGAAACGTTGATTTAAAAAGTTTTTTTTGCAAGCTTGATTTAAAAAGTTAAACATTTAAATGCAATAAAAACTTGGAGTTTCATTTTTTATTGATTCAAGTCTTTTCTTGAAGAACAAGTGACAGATGTACTCCCTCTGTACTACTATTATTATCTCATTTCTTATTCGCTTAGTTAAAACAAACAACTTTTAACCTCTTACTTTATATATCACATTTTATTTTGATTTTCACGATTTTGTAAGTTTTTTAATGTAGTTTTTGAATATGTAATGTTTTTTCTAAAAATAATTTGAGTGCGAAGATGGATCGTTTGCTTTATTGTTAGGCGAGTATCGTAAACCCCAACGGGACTGTAATGGTGCCATGGTGGGACAGAGGTAGTATACAATAATTTTATAACTCGGATCTGCTTATGAAAAAAGTTGAGCTTAAAAAACTCTAGGAATCGAATCTTCATATTTTTGTATAAAGTTTTGGTTAAAATTTAATTTTGTAAGGAAAAACCGAAGTGAACGGGTGAATAGAGATTTTTTTTAAACCAATCGAGAATTAGGTTTATTGAGAATAGATAGTTGCAATTAGTTTTTCACTCTGAATGGTCTTCAGATGTTTTTAAATTTTATATATTCAATATTGGTGTCATATGAAAGATCACAAAAACTTATAAAATTTGATATATTTTTAAAAAAAATTGGAGCAAAAATATGATAGTTATAGGAATTTAAAGAAAAAGAAGTTTTTCTTTTACATGGCCCCATCACTGCTCTTCCCTAAAGCTACATTCTACGCACATCATAGGAATTCCTTTTGTACACGTTTTTGTACCCATCAGTACCCGCATGTGTCTGTGAGAGTTTTTTTTTGTCTGTGAAGTGCGGTCCACAGACAAAAGCTGGTTTGTTTTGTCTGTGAAATTTTACACAGACAAAACAAGTCAACTTATGTCTGTGGACCGCGCTTCACAGACAAAAAAAAACTCTCACAGACATATGCGTGTACTGATGGGTATAAAAACGTGTACACCAAGAATGGTTGTTAGCGGCTTTCTGTAACCAGAGTTTGATCTAGCAGTATTTTGGTAAATAGTTTTAACCCGACTCTAATTTCGTAAATACTTTTTTATTCAGCATTATTTTAGAAAAAAAAAACTCATGAAATGAGCATCGAAAAATTTAAAACGAGTATTACACCAATATGTATGGATATGACATTTTAAAATGTATGGTATAATGGTAATGTAAAAAGAGTATTACATCAATATCAAATGAGCATTACACCAATACGAAATGAGCACCGTAAAATTCAAAAAGCTCGTTTAAAATATTTAGTATGCTCAAATATCAATTTGTGTATGTTCATCTCAGTATAACACAAAGAAGCATCAATTTCTTATTTCAGACCAACCAATTTTATTGTGCTTATTTTTCAAACGAAATTAGAGGAGCAGGCACAAAAGGCATATATAAAAAGAACAACGGAATCATAAAAATGAAAAAGAAAAGTTAAAGTTAGAAAAATTAAAATTCAAAATTAATGGAAGAGAAAAAAGATAAAGAAAAGTTAAGATTAGAGAAATTGAAGTTCAAAATTAAAAGAAAACAAAAAAAAAATTGAATCATAGAAAATGAAAAATGAAAACAAAATGAGAAGAAGCAACGAAAGATAAAGAAGCTACGGCTTCGCTCCTTCATGTGGTGGCCTCAGATGATCCAGCTTGTTCCCATCTGGGAGAAGTAAAGAAGGAGCAACTACAAAAGGAAGAAGAAAAAGATGCTCCAGCTCATATTATTACCCACTACAAAAACGCCGGGCTTGGGAGAAGCGGAGCAACTAAATGGCATTCAAAGTGTTAATAATTGCAAAAATACCCGGTTTACTGTGAGGTAGAATTAGATGGAGTATTTCCTTGAGAAAATTGTTAAAATAATAGTACATGAAGTTCTTTGGACGAGAGTAAGTAATACTTTAGATGTTTTCTTTTGAACTGTTTTCGGTCCCACATTAGATCAAATCAGATTAGATCAAACCAGATCAAATCAGACCAGACCAGACTTCCATAGTTATAAAATACACAGAGACCAGACGTTTACCAAACCATACCAGATCAGTTCAGATCAGACTGGTTTAGATCAGACCAGTCTAGCAAATTTCAGTCCAAAAGAAAATAGTCAATCAAGTATTTTTATAGTCAATCAAGTACATTTTCTCTATCAAAATGTTAAAATAGTTGACTTGACCAAACTATCCATTTGTATTATACACTTGCAGTCCAAGTCATCAAATAACTAATTTACACTTCCTCCAGTCCACTCATTTTCACCTTCGCTCCTCATCTTATATTTTTCTCGTCAAATTGATGTACTTTTAGGTATCTAAGAGAAATGATCTTGTCCATCACTCCCCCATCTGAACACCGTCCCAAGACCGGCGTTTGGGACGGTTCTCGGTGAAATTTTTTGATGATTTTTTTAGCATGATTCTTATCAAGTCTAGTTTATCCACACAAAAATTAAGCTCAAAATTCGTCCGGAAGGCAATCAAATCATTTTTTGAACTTGATTGCGCCATGATGAGGAACATGCTCAAAAAATTTCATAAAAAATTCCACCGAGAACCGCCCCAAACGGCGGTCTTCAGACGGTGGAGTGTTGGACAGAATCATTTGTCAGGTATCTAACGCACAATTATGTACTCTTTATAACGAAGATATTTTTATGTTACAATCCAGGTTGAAGTATACACTTTTCATACACACACGTACACACTCGTGTCTGTGAAGGGTTTTTTGTGTCTGTATACAGACAAAAAAACCCTTCACAGACACGAGTGTGTACGTGTGTGTATGAAAAGTATGTAACAATAGAATTTTTCTTGTGTGAAAACACTTCAATTACTCTAATTTTAGTTTCTTAACTCTTACGCCAATACTACCTCCGTTCTTAAATAAGTGCAACATACAAAATTTTTCACTATTCACATGTTCTACTTTGATTACATTTTATTCATTGATGTATTAAAGATATTTTTTGAAAAAAATATTATTAAATTTGTCTCGTTGTATATTTTCAAAATCTGATTTTTTTTTACATTTTTTACTCATAAAGAGTTATATATATTAATTAATGGTCAAAGTTGTATCTCAACAAACAAACGTGAAATGTTGAGGGTTGCACTTATATTTAATAACAGACAAGAATGGCTTCAGTCCCCGAACGCTTCAGCCACACAGAAAAGGCCATCGGAATTCAATGGCTGGGGCGGCTACATTGCTCACCAAAGTTATGTACTGTACCAGATTAGTGGCTTTCTCTCCACTTCCATTCCCATTCCCATGGGGTCATAAAGCCTTTTTCTCAACCCTGAGCTACCCATCACCCTTTTATACACCTCCAAAGCGAAATCGAAATGGAGTAGTTCATCTGCATCCAATTCCAAATGGAGAGGCATCAAACTCACACTCTCTTCCAGGTTAATGTGTTCTCCTTCTCTCACGCACACATGTTCCAATTTTTGACGACTTTTCGCTCTCAAATTCATTATCAGGTGTGGAGAATGTGATGATGGAATATATATGCGGTCAAAGGAGAGCCACCCTCCTTGCCCATCGGTACCTATTCTTTCTTTGCTCTATTGTGTTCCATCTCTCAATTACGGCGCATCCTCTTCCCACTTCAGTACTATGGCCTTGTGTTCGGTTGCCCGAACTTGTAACCACTCTATACTTTAATATCCCCTCCGCTCTTAATTAGTAAAGCCATTTTAGCAGCAACCATTTAGCTAGGCAAAACATAGTAAAATCACCCATTTACCCTCCCATCTTATTTGAATTTTGCAATTCACTTTAATATGATATACTCCTCCATTTCTGCATACTTTATTTGAAATTAATATGGTACAGTTGTCCATTGATAACAAAATTGGTTATCACTTTAAAACCACAATTTTGTCGTACAGGATGAATATTGAAGCCGAAAGGAGTATATAATAGTAACTGCTCAGTCAATCAGAAACTAGTAATTTCCTAAAATAGCAGAGTTAGCAGTTTAGTAAAATATCTGCATCATGTCTAATGATGTACCTGTTGCCTTGCTTTTCTTATTCATAATATATGAACATTTTTTTCAGGGTGTGGATGGATATTGTTAAGAAAGGGGACATTGTTATTGATGCCACTTGTGGAAATGGTTATGATACTCTGGCATTATTGAAAATGGTTGCTGATCACACAAAGCAGGGTCGTGTGTATGGAATGGATGTTCAGAAAGTTGCTTTGGAAAATACTTCCCTTTTAATAGACCGCTCTGTTAACCCCCATGATGTAAAATGCTATCTCATTTTCTGATGCTGTATCCTTTTTATTCTGTGAGATGCTATAACCATCTTTATTATATGAGTTCGTTCTTCGATTGCATGAGCATGATTCTGATGACACGAGTGAGAGAACTTTATGGTGTTTTCTTGAATGTTCATACAACAACGACATCCAAGCCTTATTCCCAAAAGATTTTAGGGTCGGCTAACATGAATTGATCCTTTCTTGAAAGTTCATAACTCTTTGTTATTTACCTACCCTGGTGCTGTGGTTCTACATGATAGCATGGAAAATCGTTTCTTCTTATTTTATTTCTTAAATGGGGAATGTGCTATGCAGAAAGAGCTTGTTGAGCTATTTTCCCTGTGTCATAGTCGCATGGGAGATGTGATTCCAGAAGGCGTGAAAGTAAGGTATTGTTTGTTGCAAATGCTAATGATATTTTTAAGAATTGGATATAGACTTAATATAGGAGGACGAGAGGTCCCTTGAATTTCCCATCGTCGTTTATTGCCCCCCCCCCCCCCCCTCATGCTATGAATACTCCAATCATCATTTCTTGTTTCAGGTTAGTTGCTTTCAATTTAGGCTACTTACCAGGTGCGGACAAAAAGATCATTACCAAGTCAGAAACAACATTACGTGCAATAGAGGCTGCAAAGGAAATTCTAATGCCTGGAGGACTCATCAGTATAGTGGCTTACGTTGGCCACTCTGGAGGAAGGTAAAAATAATGTGTCTATGAGTACATCTTGTTTTTATCGCTTCTCTTTTTTGTAATTTACTCATAACCCTAAGGCACCCCACCGTAGGTGGGAGCCTTTGCGGCACTGGGGTAAATGAAAATGATGATGACTCATAACCCTAAGGCATTGCAGTAAAGTTCAGCTATCTTTTTAAGAATGTAATAGGCCAAGAAATGATAGAAAACTGGGATTTCCCGCCCCAAAGGTTTTATTTCTGAAATATATTATCCCCATTAATCTTCTGAAAGAACTGTCTTATACAAGGACACAGTGAAGTCCATATAAAATGTTACCACTGGCGAAGCAATAATCTCAGACAAAATAATAGGGTATCCAAGTTATTAAATCCTTTGAGACTACTGTATTATTATTAAAAAATACGGAGTAATACGCTGCTACTCACAACTACTAATCATGTCCTTGTATCTTACATTATATTGGGTAATACATCGTCCGTTTTTGTACTCAGTAATTCAGTATATTTGAAAGCTACTTTCAGTTAATTCATGAAGTCTTTTGGTGAAATTCTAAGGGTGCTTTACATTATATTCTACAGGGAGGAATTCGACAAGATCGAAGAACTGACTTCCAGATTACCATTCAAAAGTTGGAATTGTTGCAAACTCCAAATGTTAAACAGGCCTCTAGCACCTGTACTTGTGTTTCTCCGTAAAAGATGAAAATTAAATGGAGCATTGACCGAAGGATCTAGAGATCCCTTTTAGGCAATCAAATTGACTAGAACTCCCCTTGACTTGATGAATGACTTGAATCGTAACACATTGCTTGCTAAGTTTGTCAATGCTTGAATGTACATATTGCTTGTAATGGATCTGATGAATTCGGAATCCACAGACTGCTTGGAATGGAAATTGTACACCGCCACTGCCCCCTGCTGCCGCTGCTGGACCACGCCCTTTCTGCCACCGGCTGCTGCCATCGGTTTGGGCCGTTTTTGTTCCTCACCAGTCACCAGCACCGTTTATCATGTTTCTCACATTAAATGTAACTTATTTTCCATTCAAAAGTCATGTAACGATAACAATTTTTTTATGAAAATTCCATTTTAAAGGACAAAACCATGGGGAGCTGCTTCTGTGAGCTTCCAATAGCCGAATAGCGGTAATATTTACCCTATCATTTTTCTCCTCCTCTTGCCTGGATAACGCTTATTTGTACAATATGACATTTGTTCATCCTTCCAAGTAGAAATTTGTTTTGTAAATCTTTCCTGAGAGGCTGAAACGCCACAATACAATGGTGTTGCTGAACGCAAACATCGCAATCTCCTAAAATTAGCACGAGCTATGCTTCTTGATGTTAGTTTGCTTGCTATTTATTTGGTGAACACTATTTTAACAGTTACTTTTATTATCAATCATTTACACTCCAATTTTACACGATTCTTCTCTTAATTTTCATCACCCACGTGATTTTTTTTGGTGTGCGTGTTTGGATGTACATGCTATCCTTTTTTATGTCACTTCAATGAATGTGCTTTCTCTTCAATCTTTTTTTGGTCCCAGAGAAAACCACTCATGGTGGGGAAAAGTGTTGGGGAGCACTTTCCAAATTTATTAAATTTTATAATGAAAATTACAAGATAGAATACGAAGAGATACAGAGAAAGAAAAACTAAATGAAAATAATTCAAACATTAGCAATTGAAATTTTTTGAAGGTATCCTAACAAAAGATTAGATGGACCTATTGTACTTATTATGGATTTGTTGCCTTCTAAAGGTAGAGCCGGTAGATATTTTCCTATGGATGGGAGGATAGCTTTCGATTCAATCTATTCAATGTGTTTTCCCACACTATCCATCTTTTTCCTTATCTCCATTTGCACGTCTCTTCAGTTATATTGAGTGATATTGTTTCTAGTCGATAAATTATGTTTAGCATGCTCACAGTTAACATACCAACATTGATTATCATTGTGTTTATGAATGAGTGGCTCATAGAGATCTTGTTGTCTCATACTCCCTCCGTCTCCCTTATATTGTCCCATTTTACCTTTTTGGGAAGTCACACTAAAATTGTCCCTTACCGTATTTGGTAAAGTTTGTGTGGCTACAAATCATTCTTGCTTTCTATATATATATTAGGGGTGGGCGAATCGGTTTACGGTTCGGTTTTTATCGGTTTCGGTTCGGTTTCGGTTTATTCGGTTTGAGGAAAATAGTACCAAACTCAAACCAAAAGAATTTCGGTTTGGTTTCGGTTTGGTTTGGAAAAAATTCGGTTCGGTTCGGTTTGGTGTTCGGTTTGATGTTCGGTTTATAAACTTGAAAATGATTATGTCTTGTTTCATATGTTACAATCCACTTTGAGTAAATGAGTAATTTTGAATGTTTTGTTTTCATTGAAATTCCAACTAAATGAAATACTACAACCAGTCTTCACCAAACCAATTGAACAACCTGCCTTCACCTGCTTAAACAACCTGCCAATTGAAATTCTAACTAAATGAAATACTAGAACCTAGCTTAAACAACCTGCCTTCACCTGCTAAACCAATTGAAACAAACTAAACCAAAGACTCACACAGAAATAGAAATAGAAATATAAATACAATTTGCTATTGATATCGCCAACCATAATAAATACAAATATGTCGTATTAGCTAACTTTGTCATAATGAATGTTTGAAATGTGTAAAAGTTAAAATAATACGAGTATATGCTTAAATATGCATTTTCATGTCTAAATTTTTTATTTATATCTTAAAATGAAGAGTGAAGATAAATACAAAGTGTGTGTGTGTTGTTCGGTTCGGTTCGGTTTTGTTCGGTTTTGTTCGGTTTTTATCGGTTTCGGTTCGGTTCGGTTCGGTTTAATACGGTTTAAAAGAAATAGTACCAAACTAAAACCAAATTGCATACGGTTCGGTTTCGGTTCGGTTTAGTTCGGTTTGGTACGGTTCGGTTCGGCTAAACCAAACCGTTATGCCCACCCCTAATATATATATATATATATATATATATATATATATATATATATATATATATATATATATATATATATATATATATATATAGGGAGCGGATCAGGTGAGAAGTGCTCTTAGGCTGAGAACTGCGAAGTTAAACTTATAGACTAAATATAGGAACTTTTAACCAATAAACCATAACTTATAGACCCCTCGAAAATAATTACGAAAATGCCACCGCAAAAAAAATAATTACAGAAACCTGGAAAAATATTTGACGCGGTGGCATTTTCGTAATTATTATGGAGAGGTTTATAAGTTATGGTTTATTCGTTATAAGTTCCTATATTTAGTCTATTAGTTTAATGCGTTGTAAGATCATATGCAAATCCAAGGGCTGAGATTACTTCTCACTTCTCATTTTAAGGGGCACTTCTCACCTGATATTTCTTTCTCTCTCTCTCTCTCTCTCTCTCTCTATATATATATATATATATATATATATATATATAGTAGGGATCAAATGAGAAAAGGATCTAGGGAGAGAAATAAGAATGAATGGGAACCCTTGGATTTTAACATCTTCTATATAAATGTAATAATTCGTGTGAGGCTACAGAGGTCATTTTGACATCTTTTCTTTTAAAACCGTATGTCATCACATATTTCTCGCTCATGTTCATCGGCAATAACGTTTCTCTCTCATCTTCATCGGCAAACTCTTTTCTGTCTCTCATCTTTACCGATGATTTCTTCTCCTTCTCTCATCTTCATCGGTGATCGCTTCTTGGACTCTCATCTTCATCTTCATCGGCGACCTATTCGTTGTCTCTTGTCTTCCTCGCTCATCTTCGTCTTCCATCTCTCCTCTGCCTGCAATTCGATTATCTCACTGCCCTAGATTACTTTATACGTATTTTCAGATGTATCAATCTAAAATTCTGAAAAATATCATGTTCTCCACATGGATGGCTGTAAGTTTATTTCATATAATTTATTTATCCATTCAATTTTTCCCACATAGCTAATTACACTCTCTATTTGAGTCTCAGAGTCTGTATTGATTTTTTTATTGTTGAATTGATCTTTCTTGGTAAGCATATGAATCCAATTACGGATTAATTTCTGTTCAGAGTTCAGACTACATGCTTGTATTCTTCTATATCAGATCACACAATTTCTACATGTTTGTATTCATGCTTTGGTTGGTGGAGACTTTTGTTATTTGGGTATTGTTCGTTGCTATTTCAGTCACTCGCAAGTGCACTTTTACCTATGTTTTCATGCACCCTATCAAGTATATAATGCACTAGTTTAGAATATAAGTCACTTATGAAAATTTTGCTTTTTGACTATTTGTTTGCATTCTTCTATTCTGGTCTCATAATTTCTCTACAATTGTATATGTGCTTATGTTGATAGAGATTTTTCTAGTTGGGTGTTGTTGCATTGCTATTTCAGTCACCCGCTAGTGCACGTTCCTGCACATTTTCATGCAATCCTTTAGTTACCCAATATTTTCATCATTTTCAAACAAGTTTTCATTTTTTGATTTGGTGCACCATTGTTGATTTTATTCTATATCTGAGATTTCACATGTACTTAAATGAGGGCTGTTGAATAAATTGGATGCAAGATTAGATGTTTGATCTTGTACTTTTACACATTATTATTGCATAATTTTTACATTTATGGATATGCACCGACACAATTTCTAGATTTGTAGCTTTGCACTAAGAATTCGTGCACAATGCACCTATATTATCATTTGATGCAGTTTAGCCTTCAATATGGAGCAATTTCATGATAGATATCTATTTCATTCTAAGATAATATAAGATGAGTTTTCTACTAAATTTTGATGCACTTATCATACTCCTTTCATGCACTTCTCATTATTTTTTTTATTTTACACTTTTTTTGTAGATACACGGGACATCAAAAGACTAATTACTTCTTGCACTGTCATGTTATTAGTATGCACAAGGAAAATTTTTATATAGCACAGTGTCAATTGCAAGATGTGCTAACACCTACTATTGAATGCAGTATCAGATTCTTAAATTTGAATCAGATACAAATTTTTGAGATTTGCACGCACAAAATTTTGAAATTTGCACTCACATAATTTTGAGATTAACCCACTCCCAAATGCACTTACGCGGATCATTAATGCACTATCATTTTATTATTGTGCTCTATACGTTTTTAAAAATTTGCACTCCAGCTATATATGCTGCACTTTTTTGCAATTATATTTGCAGTGCAATTGACTCACGAGGACAATGACACATCAAGTTATCAAGATGAATCATTCAAACGACATAAATGCTATACGCTTTCCCACCGACAATGATGCCTTATAGCAGCATATGTGGAGTGACATATGTGGAGTGCAATAAAAGAGATATGAAAATGGAGCAACTGTGATGCATTTGGAAGAAAAAGTGCATTTCATTTTGTAATAAAGTGCTAATATAAATTTTAGAAAGTATGGTTAATTTGTGCACTTCGTAGATATTTAAAATGCCCATTATTAAAGTGCATTTTATTTTGTAAGAAAGTGATAACATATGATTTTACAAATTGTGTCTTCACTTTTCTTTGTATTTAAAATGCAAAAGATAGTTGTGAATTTACACATATTTATGTTTAATTTGATTTTTATTTAAACTTACATGTAAGTGCACAACTGCATAGAGTAAAGTGCATATTATAGAAGTGCATAATAATGCCATTAAAGTGAAGGTTAATATAATAATATTATTATTTATTCTTCTCTTTATACATTTTGTTGATGAATGGTGCTTATTATTTAAATTACAATTAATGAAAAATAAAAATAATAATTGTATCTACAAATTTGATAGTAAAAATTATTGGAGAATTTAATTTGAATATATATTTTTTTTATAAAAAATGCTCATATAAGTATTTAATACGAAGTAGTGCCCAAGCGGATTTTTTTCATGGATAAAAAATATTCATCGAAATTATGATGTATTAATTATTTCAAGAAGAACCTTAAATATTTAATTGAACTCATGGTGCATGGAGTTTGAAGTAAAAGTGCACTTACAGGTTTATTCTTTTCAGTTTGTAATACAGAGTAACGTGGAAGTACTAATTGAATTAAATTTAATTTCTATTGTTAGTAAAAATGAATTTCATTTATTGATTCAATCAATCACATTAAATGTTAGACACACTTACGACGCATGAATTCCATTTGTCCGTGTGTAGTAGTTACATCTTAGTAGTCTTTTACTAATACACCCTTATTAGTAACGGTTCACCCATTCAAGTTAATAAACAATTTCATAGTTGATGATATTTACGGCCATACCACCGCACCTTTCTTGTATGTCCTCACCGTTAGATCTCAAGCA